CGCTTAATCAGTGCACAGCGGATCTGCTGTCAAATCGCCACTAGCAGATGTAACCCTGAACGGTTCGTCGGGATTATGAAACTAGCTTCATAGCTCCTAAGCCACAGACATAGAAGATAAATAGAAACGTGAAGTAATTAAATTCTTCAAAGGACAGAAGAAGCACTGATACGCAAAGACTAAGTGGGTTAGTAAACACGTATGTGTTGCCTAAAGACATCCAGTCTACAAAATCAATACAGCAGCAACTGTCAGAATGTTTCAGTAACACAATTTCAAGCAATTATTAAAACATGAACTGTCAAGAGGACAAGAAATAGGTCATGGCTATATAATAAGTTCTCCGGTGCGTTAACAAGAGTTTAGGATGTAGCGGAACAAAAAGAAAGAATAGAGGGAACAAGAGAAGAAGAAGAAGAAGAAGAAGAAGAAGAAGAAGAAGAAGAAGAAGAAGAAGAAGAAGAAGAAGAAGAAGAAGAAGAAGAAGAAGAAGAAGAAGAAGAAGAAGAAGAAGAAGGGGGAGGAGGAGAAGAAGAAGAAGGAGATGAAGAAGGAGAATAAGAAGAAGTGGAAATAACGAAGAGGGAGGTGGAGAAGATGTTGATGATGATAGTGAATAATAAGAGAGAAAGCAGCAGCAGTATCTGCAGTAATATTGGAAGCAACAGTAGTACCAATAGTAGTAGTAGTAGTAGTAGTAGTAGTAGTAGCAGCAGCAGCAGCAGCTGTAGTAATAGCAGTAGCAGTAGTTACTGCTGCTGTAGCAGCATTAGTAGTTGTTTTAGTGGTGGTAGTAGTAGCAGTAGTAGTAGCAGTAGTAGTAGCAGTAGTTATTGTTGTTGTAGCATCATTAGTAATAAATGTTAAGGTTGTTGTATTAGCGTTAGTAATACTAGTACTACTACTACTTCTACTACTACTACTACTACTACTACTACTACTACTACTACTACTACTACTACTACTACTACTACTACTACTACTACTACTACTACTACTACTACTACTACTACTAGTAGTAGTAGCAGTAGGCAGTTTGATTGTGATCAATTTGCCGGAGGGCGAGAGGGGGGGGGGGGGGACATTTGATTGTCAAGGAGGACAATTCAAAAATTGACTCGTAAAGACTTTAGGTATTATGTATATGTTATACAGGGTGCATAAAAATTTTAGGGTGGTGGGTGGGGGGGGGGGGGGGGGGGGGTACGGTTGACAAACACTGCACTAACCTTTTGTTGAGGAACAATGCAACCATTGGATCCGTCATAAACTTCTTTTTCTACTTGTAGTTTGGAATAATTTACTTTTGTAGTTCGTGGTAAAGGACATTTTCCCCACGCCTTCAGGGGTGTAGGCATAATCAGCATTTTGTAGGTGATGTGATCAGCATAACGCCGGCTGCCTTTGCTGCCCGTGACTCCACCTGGTACTCATTCAAGGTTGTGTCGACCTGGGAGCCAAGGTTATTTTTTTTTTTTGGGGGGGGGGGGGGGGAAGTCCAGTACTTAATGGTACGTCCCAGACTTGAGTAGAATGAAATCACATTCTGACCCAGTGGCGATAAGAGCAAGCCCTAGTTACCAGATCTGATTGCATAAATCCATTGTTGAGGCCAACAAGCCTATAGCCCATATATGACACACAGTAAAGAGGAACGGTTCATATCTTTGGTCGCATTTAAAACAGGTCGCAGCACATTAAAGAATTTTGGGGTAAGATTTCTCGAGGTTATCTAGCTCTGAAAACCCACGGTTTTATCAAATAACTAGTTCTCAACCGGCTCTACAGCGCACAGGTCTGTTTCATAAAGTTAAAGCTAAGAAAGAACATTTCATTAACAAGGTAACAATGCTACAAATTTAATTCTTTAAGTATTGTAGTTATAGTAACAATAAATGTAATGGTAGTAGTATCTGCAGTAGTAGTATTAGTAAGTAACGGACTCGATTCCACGCCTTCACGTGTATTGGGCATATAGGGTTAGACCTACAGTGTATAAACCAATAGGCACTGGGTGGGTGATGTAGTCAACATCACACCGGCCGCCTTTACTTTCCAGGACTGTGCTTGGCTTTTACTAATGGCTGGGTCGGCCTGAGAGCCAAGTCATTTTTAAAAAAAAGACCGGGTCCATCAGACTCGAGCCAATAGTATTTTTAGCAGTAGCAGTATTAGCAGAACCGTCTTAAAAGGATTATGCACCCTTAGGAAAACCAGCGTGCTGAGGCCACTATGACAAATACTGACAGCAATTAAATGTAAAAAGTGGATAATATTAAACATATGCATATATCAGCAGGGGGTTCTATGCTCATGCGGCCCCGTCACCTTCTCGGCAGCCCATGCCCCAAGACGGCATTGATTAATACTAATATAGTAAAAGTAAAGTAAAGTTCCCTTTTCACGCCTTTCGGCGCATCGGGCATATGGGCAGAGCGTCCCATATTTTTACAGACCATCAGCACTCTGTGGGTAATGTGGTCAGCATTACGCCGGCTGTCTTTACTTTACCAGGACAGCCCATCCTGGTACCCATTGTAGGCTGGGTCGACCTGCGACGTCCCCATACCAGGACAAAAATCCACGCAGCCTGCAATGGGTTTCGATCGCGGTATGCTGGCTTACGAGTCAGACTCGCAACGCCTTAGCCACGGACGCCGCTACTAATAGTAGTAGCAGCAGTAAAAGGGAATTTAGAATTCAATGCCAAAATTGTTTTGCTCGCAAACTGTTGGTGCAAAAGGTATGACATCCCCTGACAATAACATTCATTGTGTTTTTTACACATCATAAATTTCTGTATAATCTCCGTCAACTTCTACGGACCAAAGCCAGAGTTAAACAAACGTAGGTATGCCTTGTCTGTACCAGGTTTTTACTGTTCACGTAAAGATTTGTACACATTCTCAGACCCCTCTCTATACTTTCTGGAGCTTAACTCTCTGAATCCAGTTAGCAACGGCGCCCCAGTTGACTGTACAACTTAAAAACACAGCAGTCAAACATTTATGAATGCTAACGATTGTTTCTTTTTTCCGCAGCCGAAATGTTTCGATAATTTGCTGTTTGTAACGCACATTGAAAACCTATTCGGTTGAAGAATTTGCTTAGAGAAAGAGAAAGACTTTCGGGCGTGTCGGGAAGAGCGCTGAGTTCTGCAAAGGTTCTGTTGACTGACGATGATGAACGCATATTGTTCTTCTGTTCTATTTTAACAGAAAAAAAAAAGCAGTTGTTATTTTTGTTGTTAAAAGAGTTGCCATTTTTCACATACAACACTGATATTTCAGATTTGAATCTGGCAAGAATTCATATGTTTATCTTTATTATTCGCTGTGAAAGAAGAGTTGAAGGCATTACTCCCTGAATGCCCGTCGAAATAATAGTCGTAACAGTAGCAAAAACGATAGCAACAGCAATAGCTGTATTAGTAGCTGGCGTTGGATGGGGCATAAGCTAAGAAAATCAATGAAAAATGATACAATATAACTAGAATTTCTTTTGCACTGGAACCAACAGAGGCATAGAAATGAAGGAAGACAAAAAAAAAAAAAAAAAAAAAAAAAAAAAAAAAAAAAAAACACGGAGAAAATATAACTAGAATTTCTTTTGCACTGGAACCAACAGAGGCATAGAAATGAAGGAAGACAAAAAAACCACACGGAGAAAATATAACTAGAATTTCTTTTGCACTGGAACCAACAGAGGCATAGAAATGAAGGAAGACAAAAAAAAAAAAAAAAAAAAAACACGGAGAAAATATAACTAGAATTTCTTTTGCACTGGAACCAACAGAGGCATAGAAATGAAGGAAGACAAAAAAACCACACGGAGAAAATATAACTAGAATTTCTTTTGCACTGGAACCAACAGAGGCATAGAAATGAAGGAAGAAAAAAAAAAAAAAAAAAAAAAACACACGGAGAAAGAAGACATGTGGAAAGGTGTATGCAATAAAAACAAGGCTAAGGACGACTTGACGTGACTTGGTTGAGGACCTATGCTCCATTGGGAGATAAAGGGCAGAAGTAGAAGTAGTAAGAACCCTTTTAACCATTGGCGCAGCGAGTATGTGGTGCGAGACCTCCAGTTGTTATATACTAATCGAAACTGGAAAGATAGTGAGATCAACACCAGACTGGCCGCCATTAATTCCCGAGACATTTCCATGATATATATGTTTTTTTTGGATAATAATATTTAGTTTAAAAAAAAAAGTAAAGTACCCCTTGCCACAACTTTATGCGTATTGGGCATATAGGGCTAGACCTATATTTGTATAGACCAATCGGCACTTGGTGGGTGATGTAGTAAGCATCACACCGGCCGCCTTTACTTCTCTGGTCTGCACCTGGTACCCACTCAAAGCTGGGTGGACCTGGGAGTCAAAGTCTTTAAAAAAATGAGTCTGTGTCCTGTCTCCATCAGGACGCGAGCTCTAGACCTTTTGATCCACAGGCGGGCGACTAGCCGCCAACGCCACGGCGACTCCCAATCATTTAATTTAAAAAAAAAAGTAAAGGTCCCCTTTCCACGCCTTTAGGCTACAGGGCATATAGGACTAGACCTATATTTTTATAGACCAATCGGCATAGGATGGGTGATGTGGTCAGCATCATGCCGGCCACCTTTACTTCCCGGGACTGCATCCGGTACCCACTCAAGGCTCGGCTGACCTGGGAGCCAAGGTCATTTTTGAAAATAGTCTGGCTCCGCCAAGGAACGAACCCACAATTTAGTAACTGATATTAATTATTATTACCTCTTTCTTCTAAGACGATGTCATTCACCTTAACAGTTAACTATTAGCCAAATAAAGTAAAGAACAACTTTATTATCTTTAGATACCTGACGACCTGACTTGAGCATACGAAGCCGAACGTCAAGAGGAAGAAGAAAAGCAAGATACATCCGTTACGATTTTTCTCGTGAGAGCTGACCAAGTCAAGATCAGCCTCAGAATCCACGAGTTTTCTGTGAGACACAAGTTACGGCGCGCCATGTCTTCGTATGATGTCGACACCGTTGCTATCGACTACGTCAATAAAGGCCTCACCATTGGTTTTATCGTGGGCATATTTGGAGCAAACTGCTCCCTCATTTACAGAATTATTCGAAAAGGAGAATTCTTTAACACTCCTCAAAGTCTCACTCTAATATCGCTGGCTATTGGCGACATATTTCTAGCCTTATTACCATTAGTAGTGAAAGCGATATATCTGTTTAAAGTCTCTGAGGAAGGTATTCCATGCAGTACTAATCTTGCTGTCATTATTTATATGTGCTTCCTAATCCATTTTGTATATGCAGCGGGGTTGGTGGTTCTAGCAATAGAGCTTATTTATAAATACCGAACACAAACTTCATCCGTTCAGACTAAGAAAAGCACCATTAAGACAATTGCTTGCAGTGCTTTTCCTTGGACCCTCGCATTAGTAGTAGTTCTCCCGTTAATGTTGGCAGGCTTAACAGAGAAGTCCAGTTCATGCACAGCTCATTTAACAGTCCAGATACTTCAGGCAGCGTACGGAGTGTCTGTGCTGCTACCGGCTATTGCGGCCATCGTTATGTGCGTTATTGTTTTGTGTGTCAGGTTTCCGTCTGCGTATTACACGTCCCCTGCAGTTTCTTACCAGGTCACGGAGCAGGCTAATTTTGTAAGCCCACAGAGCATGCAAATGATGCATCAGCACCATGTGGTGACCAATCCCATGGGGAATGCGCAGTATCCAGTAGGCGGTGCAGTTGTAGTACATCAATTCCCTGTGGATAATACCGGACCACAAGAGCCCCCTGGTATTCAGGAAAACAACAAACAAGATCCCAACCTTGCCGGTCCGACCCCAACTGCTCCCTTTACGCAGTACCCAGTACAACAGTACTCTCTCCAACAGTATCCGGGATCACAACAGTACCTAGGACAACAGCAGTATTCGGGACAACAACAGTACCCTATGCAACAGTACCCAGTTACTCAGTTTCCCTCTCAACAATACATCATACAACCTAACGTTGTCATTGCTGCTCCAGTTTACTCAATACAGACTCAGAATACAACAGGGTCACTTGCAGATCCTGGAAGGGAAAAGAAAGTTCTTCTTCTGGTATCTATTATCCATTTTATTTGCGTTGTTCCATATGCTGTGTACATGTTGGGATCTAATATTGAGGGTTACTCAGTGACTTTCGTTGACTTGATTATTAATTTATCTTTGTCGTGGCTGTCTGTTTTTCGGTCATTAATCACGCCCTGTATCTTCGTTACATTAAATAAGTAACATCGAAGGCTAAGATTTATCCGACTGTATAACATTGGTAAGAACTCCAAGTGTATAATATTATCAACTACTACTACTATTAATATTATCATCACTACTACCACCACCACCACCACTACAACGTTTGATTACACATTGTATGTCCTTAATTTTTGCTTAATTGATTGTAAATATACAATACATTAGCTTTAATCAAATCGTTATATTTGGACTTAGATACTCTCTACGTTACGTTGCAACAATAATTCTGTTTCGCTTTCTTATCTGACATGTGTATTTTATATATATTTTTTATTCTTATGAAGTTTAGGCATGAAGTCTCTCAAAATTTGTAATTTTATTCTTTATAACTCAAGTTGTAGTTTAGCAAACTGTGCATTTTGTATAAATATTGTAACGTAAATTTTAATTCTTATTTTTAAATAATTTTCGAAAACAGAGTCTTACGACGAATCTTTGGACCCATCAAAGATGAAAACAGCGGGGAATGGAGAGTGAGAAGCAACAACGAAATTCATAATCTGTTTAAATCATCACTGATTACTAGCATTATGAGAGCTAATAGACTGAAATGGCAGGGGCATATTGAAAGAATGTCAGATGACAGAGAAGTAAAAACTGTATACACAAGGGAGGTGAAAGGTCGTAGACCACGAAGCAGACCAGGAAAACGATGGAGAGATAATGCCAAGACAAACCTGCAAACACTTGATGTCACCAACTAGAAAGAGAAGGCCAACCAGAGAGATGAATGAAAACCGGTGATATCTGCAGCAATGAACATCAAGGGCTTGAAATGCTGAAGAAGAAGAAGAAGAAGAAGAAGAAGAAGAAGAAGAAGAAGAAGAAGAAGAAGAAGAAGAAGAAGAAGAAGAAGAAGAAGAAGAAGAAGAAGAAGAAGAGAAGAAGAAGAAGAAGAAGAAGAAGAAGAAGAAGAAGAAGAAGAAGAAGAAGAAGAAGAAGAAGAAGAAGAAGAAGAAGAAGAAGGAGAAGCAAAAGAAGAAGAAGAAGGAGAAGATTTTTGGATAATTATCAGTTTCATACCAGTGTTAACAGTTAACAGTACACCATTTATACTGGGTCGCCTATTGGTTCGCTGGTAAACAATTTCGTCGCTGGTCGTAACAATGTTTGGGTTTGTCTTCTTTGATCGCCGCATCAACAAGGCTGGGGTCCTTTTCCGGGCTCGACCCACTGACTGACTTTCTAACACCCCAGGACATCGCACAAAGGATAAACACCCGATGACACAAAGTGCCACAATGGGGATGAGGATCACCGTGGAGAGGTCCCAGAAACCGCGTTGAGCCTTTATGCCATATTTATGGCCAGGTTATTTTGCGGCCCCTGACAAGAGCCACAGTAGGGCTTCAAAGTACGAAAGGTTTCATCCTGAAAAGGACAAAAAGCTACTTTTTCCGGTCTCTTGGTGGCCTGCTGTGCTAAGCCATTTTATATGGCACATATAACCTGGTCACAATTATAAACTAAAGCTCCCCCTTCGGGGATGCTGGTTGAACGTGACAGTAAATTTTTTTGGGGGTGGGGTGGGGGGTGGGGTGGGGGGGGACAAAACAACGAACGAACGAACATTTAGCTGATTAGCAGACATTTGCGTAGAAGCAGCAGAGACATTGCTTTATAGACAAGGGAAGAGAACACGCTGAACAGATAACAAGAGCAATGAAGATGTCAAGAAAGACATTAACTCAAGAAGCAAACTGATTACCTTCATCACAAGAAGGCAGTGTGCATTCATTCGCAACATAATTACAATGAGAAAACTGGAATATATCGCAGCTGTGGGAAAATCAGAGGGTGAAGGAAGCAGAGGGAGATCGAGAGAGAGAGAGAGAGAGAGAGAGAGAGAGAGAGAGAGAGAGAGAGAGAGAGAGAGAGAGAGAGAGAGATAAGATAATGGATAATTTTATATAATTGCAAGGAAGATCATGGGCAAAGACAACAGCTCACAGAAGCCATCTGCAGGCCTCGGAAATGAGATATCTGAGAAAGGTGGCCCAAGTGACAAAAAGGGACAAAGTCTGAAGTCAGACAATACGTCAAGATCTTGATATCCAGTCCTTACAAATCTGAGTAGATCAGTCACAGTTACGATGGTTTGGACATGTATGCAGAATGGGAGAAAATCGGCCACCATGGCAGGCATGGGAGGCTAAGAACCAGGGAACAAGACCTCCAGGACGACCCAGGGTGCGCTGGGAAGACAACATCCGACAATCCCTAACTGACAGAGGACTGGAATGGAACAAAACCAGACAGAAAACTGCTGATAGAGACGTCTGGCAATCTCTCTGGCAAACCTCTACACCCCAAGGTAGAAGAGGAGCGACTAAGTAAAGTAAATTAAGCAAGGAAGATAATCTGCGCCGGAAGCGTTTCAAAATACACGAGACAGAAGAACTGTGGGTAGACATGATTACCAACGCCATAAGGCATAAACTAGTAAAGATATCACCTTTTGATTTTCTTTATTATCCTTACCAGGGTAATCTTCAACATATTTTTGTCAATTTGTATCCTAAACCTTCACTTTCCTACTTTAAAACCGGAATCTTTTGAAATTGATCGGGCATTACCACCAGCCAAATGTTGGAATTGTACTATTATTACCTTTTGTTTCCGTCCCCCCCCCCCACCCCAGCCTTTCTTCACCCCCCTCCATCCTCACAACAACCATATTCAATGTTTAGTTATTTAATAAACATTTTATAAACTATTAGCTAACTAACATTTAGATATTTAACCTAAGTTTGGAAATTTTGAAGTTTTCAGTATAACAACACATGTATGTGAAATGTTTTGTCTTAAAAGTTAATATATTCTGGGGCGGCGTCCGTGGCTAAGGCGTTGCGAGTCCGACTCGTAAGCCAGCATACCGCGACCGAAACCCACTGCAGGCTGCGTGGATTTTTGTCGTGGTATGGGACGTCGCAGATCGACCCAGCCTAAAATGGGTACCAGGATGGGCTGTCCTGGGAAAGTAAAGACAGCCGGCGTAATGCTGACCACATTACCCACAGAGTGCTGATGGTCTGTAAAAATATGGGCCGCTCTGCCCATATGCCCGATGCGCCGAAAGGCGTGAAAAGGGAACTTTACTTACTGTTGTGTTTTGAAAGTATACATGATCACATAATATAGTTCTAAAAATGTTAATAAATGACTTGAACACATCCTTATAGCTGTTGTAAGCTTCCCTCTCTCGCTCGTTGTCACTCTATGTGTTTGTGTGTGTGCATGTGTGTGTGTGTGTGTGCATGTGTGTGTGTGTGCGTGCTTGCTTGCATATTGATGCATGCATGCTTGTCATGTTTAAGGATATATTTTGTAGATACAGAAAAACAGAATATTGCCGTAGTAGTCGCCGGAATCAAAGTTTTTCTTTTTCTTCCCCTTCTTCGTCTTCTTCTTCTCCTTCTTCTTCTTCTTCTTCTTCTTCTTCTTCTTCTTCTTCTTCTTCTTCTTCTTCTTCTTCTTCTTCTTTCTTTCTTTCTTTCTTTCTTTCTTTCTTTCTTTCTTTGATGGTTGACACGTTGTGAAATGGCTTACAGCTAGGCTAGGATATCTGGACTGATTTCAGCAAATCTTTAATTAGTTGTTTACGACGTGAGCTGATGGTTGCTCTCTTCTCTATCTTTCTCTCTCTCTCTCTCTCTCTCTCTCTCTCTCTCTCTCTCTCTCTCTCTCTCTCTCTCTCTCTCTCTCTCTCCTCCACATTGTGTTTCGCGTACTCACACGGGAATATGGCGACAGGGATAATCAGAGAACAGTCATAGGCGCAAACGACTTGATTGGTCAAAGTAAGCCAGGATCCTCGTTTTGGTCACATTGCAGTATTTTTGCGGCAGTCAGCCGTTATTTTACTATTGCGCCTAGCGTTGGTTTCGACAGTGGTATCGAAAAGCCGACCGTCTAGAAAGCAGTGGAAAACTGCTGGATATAAATCTGCATAAAATACCACAACAGCAAAAAAATATAAAAAAATTCTGGGGTTGGTTATGCAATGTCCTGTAAAAGATACGGAACTAACTTTTTTTTAAAACATGGTAACAGTATTGACTGATAACAGTGACTAAGGCTTTGGGTAGAAAAAAAAGGGGGGGGGGGGTGTGGGGGGGACGGGGAGAGGACCTTATGGCACGCAACAATACGCAGTTCTGACAATTTTTAAATGCAATCTTTTTTTTTTTTGCGCTTCTATTGTGAGTAACGACAAGTCCTGGGTGGCCATTGTAGTAGTTCGGCCGCAGTGCCTAAAATGCGCCAATGCTAGCACTAAGTGTTTCACTGAGCCTCAGCAGAAAGCTGTATGCTGACAGACATATAGGTCATTGATTGTTTTAGCCGACACACGTATAACGGCACATGTTGCTCACATTTGCTCTGACAAACACCCCTTTATATTGGCAAACTGAAAGGTCTTAAATCCCAAGATAAACTTATCAGTCGAGGTCACCCAACAGTACATAACGGAGACGTATCTCTCTCCCCCACACCACCCCCCCCCCCCCCCTTTTTCCATTCTAGTCCAGATTTGCCTTTCACCGTCAGGTTTGTTAAAGGCATCAGGTTCGAGTTTTGGTATGTGCAACGAACATGCTGGTATGCACGGCCTCAGACATTCCATGTATCCGTCACATGCGTGAGGCACCTCTGGCTCTGTTTTCGTTGCGTGTAAGTGGTTCTTTGCGGGGCACTATCCAGTGGTGGTAGTCTTGACACATGTCCGAACCATTTGATCTGGTCTCCGTCGACGTAGACACTGATTTGTAATATATATATATATATATATATATATATATATATATATATATATATATATATATATATATATATATATATATCGCCTGTTGAGAAACTAAGGGATACAACTAATGTTGATAATAGAAGCCAAAAGTGCTGGACTCACTTCCAAAAACGATATCAAAAGCATTTGCACAGGACAGAAGAGAATCAAGGAATAGACTGCGATTCATATG